TCAACAGCAAAAAATCGCCGAGCACGCAAACACGAGTCTAACCTTTATGCCTCTCACATAAAAACAACACATGCTATATAGTCAAAACTGTGAACATACGATCGTGACGAGTGTACCAACACAACAAAAAAAAATGTTGAAATTAGAGTGTACAGAGCGCGCGAAATTCAAAAAGTCACCTTACTTTTTGATCACACCTCGTATGTTATGAATATATTTGGATCTAAGTGAAAGCTTTATTTATTAAGTAAATTTAAAAGTAAATTTTAACATACATATACAATTACCTTTTCTTGCTTTTTCGTTTTTCTTGTTCCTTCATTTCTTTATATTATCTGTATCTGTATTGTATCTATTTCTGTGGGTGTGTATACATGTGTGCGTGCGTGTGTACGGGTATGTTGATGGCGGATCAGATGGATGTGTGGATGGATGTACGTGCGTGAGTATTTATAGACATGTGGTAGTATGTACGGATATGCGTGTACAGGCGAGTATGCATACAGGCATACATGTGGATTTATCGCTGCAACATTGCAGGTATTAGAAATTGTAATATATAATACATATTATGGCGCAAGATAACATAACATAACATAACATACTATAACATTAGTTCTTTTTCTGCACTTTTTTTATTTATATCACAATTGTATTTCAAATTATATTCAGTAATAATAAAATAATTATTTTTAATGATAGTTGCAGATACATTGCGCTGCAATATTGCTACGACATTACAGCGCAATCTTGCTAAAAAAAGACATTTTTATGCTCCATGATATTGCAACAAGGTTACAAATACATTGCGCAATCTATATGCAATATTACAACATTGCAATGTTGTGTGATATATCTGCAATCATTTTGTAATCTTTCTGTGCTGTGTGGGTAGTGGTTTTCAAGAAAAATGAAAGGAATTAGAAAGGACTGAAAATATAGTTAAAAGAAGGAAAAGAGGTATAAAAAAAGCATAATATACACTGTACAGAGCAAAGTTAGTATTCATTATACTTGTGTCTTCATGATGTATTTTATTTTCTTTTCAGAATAACATTTTCTTTCTCTCATGAAAAAGGAAGGACTCATGGAAATAAAAATAAAACAAAAAAGAAAAAAGTATAAAAGGAAGCATAATGTTATATTCCCATACAGCGTAGAAAGATTGCAAAATGATTGTAAATATATCTCATTGCAATGTTGTAATATTACAAATAAATTGCGCGATGTATTTGCAATTGTTGCAAGTCATAGCGTCATAAAAATGTCCGCTTTCAGTAAGATTGCGTTGTAATGTAGCAATGTTGCAGCGCAACGTATTTGCAACTATTATTAAAAATAGCTTTTTTATTATTACTGAATGTAATTTGAAATACAATTTGAGATATAAATACAAAAATGCAGAAAAAGAACTAATCAATATATATTTTATATTATGTATAATTTTATATATAATTTTATATATAATTTAATATAATTATTATATTTTATACTTAACTGCAAATTTTATATGTAAGTATATATATATTTTAAAGTTTACGTATGTATATGGACATATAATATATCTACACTTCTTTGCAAATATACAGAGTGTCTCACAACTATCGCATTTCTTCTTAAAAACGTATTTTTGAGGTAATTTTGAGACGAAAATCCTAATATAAAAATGTTAAGGCTACAATAGTTTTTGAATTATAATTGGTTAAGAATAGTATGTAATTCAAAAACTATTATAGCCTCGAGATTTTCGTATTAGGATCTTCGTTTTAGAATGTTCAAAAGAATTGAGAAATAATAATAGAGGCTATAAAACTAAATGATTTTTTACTTATAAGCATTTATAGTTAGCCTATAATTTAAAAAATTATTGTAGTTCCGATATTTTTGTATTAGGATTTTCGTCTCAAAATTACCTCAAAAATATGTCCTTAAGAAGAAATGCGATAGTTGTGAGACACCCTGTATATTTTACACTTTATGCACGTGCGCCTATTTTATACATATTCGTAATTGGTAAAATGGAAATATTAAGAAACTCCACGCAATCTATTTCATTTTTTTGCAATATTCAGAAAATTTTTTTAATCCAAATATTTCAAAAAATTATGATAATTGAGTATAAAGTTTGAAAAATCTTGTTGCGCTGCGGCTATGACATATGTTTCAACGAACACTATAATTCTTAAATTAATGGAAATAATTAACAATCATATAACGTGCAATTGACGTATGTTTCCATATGCGCAATCCATTACTCAATAGCCAAAATCTTTTTAATGTCTCTGTAACAATTTGTAAAATCTTGCGCCGTAATATGTATTATATATTACAATTCTCCTAATACCTACAATATTGCAACGATATTACAACGCAATCTGCAATATTGCAACGTTTCTGCAATGTTACTGCAAGTTTCATATCCCTATATATTATACATATTTGTATATACAGAATGTTTTCAAATTCGTACCCATAAACAAGATACGGTACTTTATGCTAAAACAAGCAACTATTTCCTTTTGCAAAGGAAAGGTTACGCCTGACAAGTGGTTTTTGCAGAACAGCAGATTGAAGTTATAAGAGTAAATGCAAAAAATTATTTATCGAATGTAATTTTACTATAGGAAAAAATTGTTCGTTTTAGTATAAAACACAACTTTTTCCTTTAACAAAATTACGTCCGGTAAGTAGTTTTTGCAAGAGAGCAGGTTGAAATTAACAAATAAACATAAAAATTATTTATCGGACGCAATTTTGTTAAAGGAAAAAGTTGTTTATTTTAGCATAAAGTTTCACGTCTTATACTTCGTGGGCGCGAATTTGAAAACATCCTGTATAAATGTTAAAAGCTTAGTAGCGCGCATGAAGCGCGCACCTGTTATGTTCTAGTATCGCAAAAAAGCCATTTCTTGTATGTTATATCTCAGTTATTTTAAAAATCTTATATATGTGCTAAAAACATTTGGCTTGTGGCGTTAATTTCAATATGAAAAGTCTATAAAAATGTACCTCATCTGATTCAAAGTAATTTCTTGCTGTAAACTGTAGTATAATCTTTTAAATCATGTAAAATATTTTGATTTTGGCAATGATGTAAGGTAATCGGTCACACACTTTCATGTGATAAAATTAAACTGTATTTCTCTATACATATAACGTTAGCCTGTTGTTAGATCTTACGTTTCTTTCTCGAATAAGCTGTAAGAAAAGACACGATGTTCAAAGGTCACATAGCACAGATTTTTCATGTAACGAGTATCGTGTATTGCGTCTGATTGGTTACGCAATCGCGCATTATGCGTTTTTAATTATATATGCCTCTGATTGATAGTTAAATTTGTGCGTCGTTTTAATTAATACATGATTAACTGTTTTGGCGTGGATTCGTAAATTGTTTCTTCGTATTCATAACATAAATATCTTTAACAGGATTTTGTCATAAAGTGGTTATTTCGCGATAAATACCAAAATGGTAGACAATAGCGCGACGAGTACAAATGTGATGGAATCAGCACCGGCGGTGAAATCTGGTAACTCGGGCGCCGTGCCATTCTCGTAATATTGATAATTTTTAACGCCTACGCGTGATCGAATAAGACGGTAGTTGGGTATGTTGATATCAACGCGATTATTTAAGAAGTTTTGCAACATATTGGTGACGCACCAAAAATTGCCGTCTTCGTCAAATGCGAAACTGTCGGGCCACTGCGTCAATACATGATCGCGCGATATAATTCGTTGACCGACGGTAAAGGATCGTGTATTCTTGGTATCCCACATAGCGATGGCGTCGTCAGCTAGTAGACCGAAATAAAGTACGCCAGTAGACGACATCACCATACCGTCCGTTTGCGAAGTCTTCCGTCCAAGTTCCTTCACGTATTGATCGATATTTGACAAATTGTTCTTCAGAGCAAGTACCGGAATCGAATATAGATGAAAAGAAGATAAAGGCGAATAGTAGATTTGTCTGAAACAAATTCGATTGTCGTTCGTTAGAAAATCATATTCAAATTTCGATATAGAAAAGTATTATGTTTACAATACTACAATGACAACGAATTTTAATAACACAATAATAATTAGTAAGTGTCGTGGTGCGTGGTAGCGCTGTGGTAAGATTGTAGGAAGTTAGGTTAGCGCGAGTTGGCACCCCCTCTTGGGCGCCGAGCGTAAGGTTAGGCAGAATGACGACTCGTCGTCGACGAGAGCGCTGTTACATGCCACGTAACTATTGTCGAGTCACGCTTTAACATAAAGTTTTCTACACATATTTTCCTAGACATTCCTGACTATGCTATTTCCGGCTGTTCATCTTAATTGCTTCACCTATCGTTTTTTTTCTTTGACCCTTATTTTTATGTCTTCCCTTAAGTGCCCTTTTGAAATTTAGTCTTACAAATATTTTATGACTCATGTCAGAACGGATTGTTGAGTTATCGACACATTCCTTAGTTTCCTTTACCCCTTTCACGTATATTTTTGGTACTCGAAAAATCTCACGTCATTGGTTAAAATTGATAGAGAGCTCCACCTCTTTAGTCGAAATAAAGATCCTTCTAGCTCTGTTTAGTCAGTCTAATTTCATAAGCCGTACTTATAACATCGTCTTTTGCTCGCTAGTTTGTAAGTTTGTATTATCAAATAAAGTCTCATCAAGAGACAGTTGTCGAACCATTTATTTCATATTGCCACGCTTCGGCTCGTAACAATTGGTGGCAGCTGTACCTAACTGTCGAGAAGATCACGGCTTGAAACAATCTTGCTTTGGAATAATTTTCAAGTAAAGATCAATCAACGAAAAGACATATTGTCACAAGAAGTCTGAATCGAGAAAACCTCACAATTCTGTAAGGACATTGAGGTAGAAGACTGGAGGCTGACGATAATTTTCTTTTACTGGCAAATGCAGCAGATACATTACCATTCCTGCAGATCGAATATCACAATAAAACTCTAGTGGAGTACATACTGCAATAGCTTGCGCTGATCTCCATCTGAAGAAAAAGTGTTAAAGATCCATAGTATCGCAGACATTAATGGGACGAAAACAGCGAGGAAGCGGCATAAGCATCTTCAATGGAACATGACAGTTCCTTCTGGACGGAACCGGCTGCAACGACAAGACTCCCAACACTTTTTATTTGTTGGACGTGGACGGCCAACACATAAAAAAGCTTATCGAGTTTTGAATATCTCACTGGACTTCGAACATCTCAGTCATCGAACCTTCGACCAACAGCAGACATCTTTGGTCAACCATGCTGTATATTGTACTACTACTGTAAGTCTTTATGAACTATCGTAATCTTAGCGTACATTATAAGTCGGATACTTCGGACGAAAGTAATTTGGTAGATAGCTTCGAATCTAGTAGTTATAATATAGCGGTTCTAGACCACAGACACAGTCGCCTGGCTGCCACCAGGCGGCGCTGGCGTCGCGATTGCGAGATGAGCTTGTTGGAGGGGGGGAGGGAGCACATAGAGAAGTAAAAATGTTGCGTAGAGAAAAGAAGTAAAAATGCAAAATGCTCACCTGATATCCCCATCCCCCGCTACCTCCACCGCAACCGCAACCACCACCACCTAATCGTCCTCCCCTTAATCAATCCATTCACGCAGTTTCTTCAACCCAAGCGGCAATCTGTGCCGCGTTTACCTCCTCATCAGCCTCTGCTGCCACCGCAGCAAAGTATATCACAAGAAATTGTAATAATTCCTCCTCATCAGATAAATCGAGGAAGTCAAGCATGAATAATTCGTCACTCGTACAAAATGCGAAATTAATAATCGGGAGGTTCTCGTCAAGCTCATGCTCGACTTCCTTCTCCTTTTCGGTGAGAGCATCCTCGCCGACAAAGACATTTTCGCCGGCCTCCATGAGAGGGACATCATCCTCCCCCTCCACATCATTTCGTTCAAAATTATAGGACTCTCTGAATTTCATTTTTAAACGTTTAAAATACAACACCGTTAATCATACATCGTTTGTAAGTATGTTCCTGCACTAGACTGCACTAGCACTCTCTTTCTCACTTTCAACAAATATCAAACATATACTTGTCTCACTTCAAGTTCCAAAAATGTACGCTAGTTCAGAGAGAGAGAGAGAGAGAGAGGAGAGAGAGAGGGGAGAGAGAGAGAGAGAGAAGAGGAGAGAGAGAGAGAGAGAGAGAGAGAGAAGCCACAGAAATTAAACAAACCGTTAAATACAACACATCGTTAATTATATATCGTTTTAAATATAACTAATGCATCCACGCGCGGACAAGACGTGGACAAGACTGACGCTGAAAAGCATTCTTCGCTGTAGCGAGACTGCCCAGGATCTATCTATGGCATTTATCTATGGCAGTCAGTGTATATAAAAATAAAGTCAATCAAAAAGTGTTGCCGCGAGAAGATCGACATGATAAGTTCTGAGGCAGTTGCCTTTGTTGTGCATAGAGCATCCGGCTATCAAATGTTACCATTATACGCATTGAGATATTAAGCAGCGCCGCCGCCGCCGCCACCGCGGACCCCGCGCCCACCCCAAAATGTGTTGCGGGCCGTAACCGCGGACCACACGCATATCCAAAATGCATCGCGGTACTATGACGCGGATAAGATATTTTATCTAGGAGATCGGTGACTCATCATCCGGCTGCTGAACGAAGCGCTGTCAATGAGGGGTAGATGATGAAATCATGCTGCGTTCTTTCTTTCAAGGCCTTTCAAGAAGTATCGATAACGATATTTACCATCTTTTTCTCGATGCGTTATGCCGCCTGTTGCGACTCATGTGCATCTTATACTTACTATCTTTTCTCTCATTGCTGCTTCCTATGTGACTCCTTTTACTTATTCTTATACGCAAAATATATACATATACATATACATATATAATTTTTTATTTATATTGTACTTATTCGATTATATTCTAATAATGCTTTTAAAGCGAGCGCAGCGATATTATCAGACGCGATGATATCATCGATCGCGATGATGGTGTCGGCACATGTAATATAATACCACGAAGAAAGTAGGAAGGAAAAGAAGGAATAAATATCGCAAAGATGGAAGGAATGAATAATTTCAAACGCTGAGACATACAGTTTAAATATTCGTTTATTTTCCATATACTATATATTATCATTCATAGTGTAACTAATAATTCACATTTAATATTCGAATTTTTATCATAAATCTCACGCTAGGTGTTTGCCACATCGTATTTGTTATGTAACGCGTCTCGCGATAACATCAATGTAATTCAATACATCAAAAATGCTACGTTTGTAATTTCGCAAGCGTCGATGGCTTTATTAGATTTATTAATAAAAGATTTTTCAAGGACATGCCACGACAAGTCACAACATGTCACAACATGTTTGGCGGTGACATTATCGATGCGATTTGATATAAATGCAACGTTGCCAAATAGTGTACATGTCACGTGACCAGATTTTTCACGAACATTCGACATGTCACAACATGTTCGAATGGTGACATCATCATCAATGTAATATGATACAAATATCACGTGACCAAGTAAATGATATAAAATGAGAAGATTTAGACACACCGCGTCATTAGTCAACGCAACCGATAATATGGAGAGCGATTTGATAAAGGAAACGGTCCAGCTGAATACTAGAAAAGAGTACGTCGCATGGGAACAACTATGCGACGAACTAATAGAATTTATAGAAGAGCAGAGTCGTACCAAGCGTCCGCGCCTCGCCATTGGACACAGACAATCTGTGGTGGCGAGGATCACGAGGCTCGAGAGTTTGAAGGATTCGGTGCGTGGAAGATTTGTGCATGTGGTCGCCGGTTACGGACTTCGATGGCGTGAGATCGAAACAACATTCGAGAGTCGTATAGTGACAGGTGCGGTGATAAACTCTAATCACATCGAGTCGCGGCGGTTTTTGGAAGACGCTGGCAATGTAGTGCTAGAGAGAGTGCGAGACGCTGTAGAAAGACACGGCAGTGTAAAAGTGAACACAGCGTTCAACTTCGCAATGAAGGATAAACGTGCTAATAAAAGCATAATTACAAAGAACAGCGAGTTATACAGATGCACCGATATACGCGAGTGGTACGAACGGCACGTCGTTGAGCCTATCTTGGCATTGCTCGAAGAGTTCCAGGAACGCGATAGTGGGTGGGCGCTGTCGCGAATCCTCAATTTGACTGTTAACGTGAACAAACTAAACCCTATGCGCGCGGGATGTCACTTCGAGGTGCCGCGAGAAATTATGCTGAAGAAAGCAGTGGTCAGTGTGAAATCCATGGACAATGCGTGCTTCGCGTGGTCGGTGGTCGCCGTTCTGTACCCCGCAGAAAGAAACGCAGATCGGGAATATTCGTACCCGCATTATACAACAGTATTGAATCTCACAAACATTGACTTTCCGATGACTTTAAAAAACATTTCAAAATTCGAACGTTTAAACGCTGTGTCAATCAACGTGTACGGCATCGAGAATAAGCAGATCCTTCCTCTACGACTCACAGGCGACAAGAAGGAGAAGCACGTCAATCTCCTGTACCTGCAAGATTCACGCAACAACGGTATAGGTCACTTTGCGTGGATAAAGAACCTGTCGCGCCTTGTGAGATCGCAACTCACAAGAATGGAGCACAAGAAATACTTTTGCGGCCGGTAAGTATAAGAAATGAAAAACAAAAAAAAGTATGTGAAAAAAAAATTATTTCTCTATTTACAGATGTCTTCAATATTTCGGATCGAATGAAAAATTGCAGACGCACGAAGTGGACTGCCAAAAATTGAACGATTGTGCTATCTGCCTGCCGAGCAAGAACGATAGGTGGCTCGAATTCAGCAAACATTGCAACCAGGAACGAGTGCCGTTCGTCGTCTACGTCGACCTGGAGTGCGTCCTGCGGAAAATGGAGCACGACAAAGAAAACGCATCGTCGTACGAGTATCAGCGGCATGAAGTATTCAGCATAGGATACTACGTGCGATGCTCGTACAACTCGTTGTCATCTTATCACTTTTGTCGCGATGAAAACTGTATAGCATGGTTCGCGCGACAGCTCAATGATTTGGCGCATCGCGTCAAAGATATTATATCCGCCAATGTGCCCGTGGAAGCTTTATCTAAGCAGCAATGGGAGGCGTACCGCAGTGCGACGCGTTGTCATATTTGTGAGAAACCGTTCGCGCCGGACAATACGCGGGTCCGCGATCATTGCCACTTAACCGGTAGATAACGCGGTCCAGCACAATCAAATTGTAATCTTAATTACAAAAATTCATTTAATATTCCAGTTGTATTTCACATTCTTGTCGGGATATGACGCGCACTTTATAATTAAAGAAATAGCTACGGCGTACGACGGTCATGTAGATATACTACCGATAACCAAAGAAAAATATATTTCGTTTACGAAACATGTCGATAGCACCAAAGACAAAAATGAAAAGAATTTTCAAAAAAATTGCGTAAAATTAAGGTTTATTGATTCCTATAAGTTTCTAAATGCAAGTCTCGATAAATTGGCGTCGTATCTCAACAAAGATAAATTAAAAATTGTACGTTCCGAATTTTCAACTTTGTCAGTCGAAGAGTTTGAATTGCTGACTCGTAAAGGTATCTTTCCGTACGAGTACATTGACTGCGTTGAAAAATTGCAGGACACGCGCTTACCATAGCAAGAATTATTTTTCAGTTCATAGACGGATGATACAGTATCCGGCGAGAGCGATTACGCTCACGCCGTGAACATATGGCAGTGATTCTCCATTCGAACGCTCGGCGAGTACAGTGTGATCTGTACTTGAAAACCGATGTCTTGTTATTAGCCGACATTTTCGAAAATTTCCGCAATAGTTGTGTCGCGAGTTACGGTCTCGATCCCGCGCATTATTATACACTGCCAGGTTTTACATGGGACGCCATGCTAAAACATACGCGCGTAAGATTTGAGTTGCTCACCGACATTGATATGGTCATGGTCATCGAGCGTGGCATACGCGGTGGCTTCAGTCAATGTTCCGGCAGATACGCGCAGGCTAATAACAAGTACATGCGTTCGTACGACTCATCGAAACCGTCTTTGTACCTTATGTACTACGATGTGAATAATCTGTACGGATGGGCGATGTGTCAACCATTGCTGTACGCCGAATTTCGATGGGTCGGAGACGCTGCAAACTTTGACGTGAGCGCGATCGCTCAGGATTCGCCTACCAGTTTTATTCTCGATGTCGATCTCGAGAATCCGCAACATCTGCACGACCGGCACACTGACCTACCTTTCTGCCCAACGCGCGATAAGCCGCCCGGCAAGCGAGAAGATAAAGTTCTCGCGACGTTGTACGATAAGCAGCGTTACGTCATCCACTACCGCAACCTGCAGCAATGTACTCGTCACGGTCTTCGCGTAACAAAGATCCACCGGGTGCTACAATTCGCTCAATCTCCATAGCTCCGCGATTATATTGAACTTAATACACAATTTAGAACGAGCGCGAAAAACGATTTCGAAAAAAATGTGTAAGGTACCTGAGCCGAAAAAGGCCCAGCACAAAATATGGCCCACTTTTTAAATTACCGCTTATAAATGCACTTTATGCCTAAATTATATGCTTAAAAGATGTGTCATAGGGCCAATAAGAAGAAGTCTAGAGAACTAGAATCGGCAACAACTCGTTTCTTTAATATAATATAAACTTTGTGACGAGGTGAATGTTTGCGACGTTTTTATAAAAATCCGCTGTAATAAATTGTAAGTATTTTAAAAAGTTTATTACATGTACGATATTTTATAATTTATTATTACATATTATAATATTATTCAACTTCCTAATCAATGAAAATGACAAATATATATATCAATTTTTTTAGAATAAATATATTGTTTAGAAACGACACACTCATCAAATAAGGCCCATTAAAATGACCCCTGGGCCATATTAGATGCAGTGTGCACATTTGGCTCCCCGGCACCACGGAAAATCGCCCCACCACTTCGCCGCTGCGCGAGAGCGAGCGAGACAGCGAGTCTTGTAAGTGTAATAAATGGTACCACGAGTTATGTATGGGACTTACACCACAAGATACAGATTTTCAATGCTGTTAATATGTTGAAGTTAAAATTTATCGAGTTAAAGTTATCTAAAGTAAACAAATGTCAAAGACGATTACCAAAGATTATTTGTTATTTTTAAAAAAAAAACGTTGATTGTTCATTTATCGTAACGTTTGTGATCGGGCTTTATTAAATACATATGCATGAAATAAGGCCCAAAATCAGATTTTTTAAAAATATTTTATTTGCTTATTTAAAAATCTTTTTCATAAAAGATATATATATTTTTTAAAAGTTATTGGAATAAAGATTTTATTCGTACAAAGTTTATTTCAATATTCTTATAAATAAAATTAAAAAAAAATAAAATATGTTAGGTAGGCCTTATTCGGCTCAGGTACCTTATAAACTAATGAACAACGCGGTATTCGGCAAGACCATGGAGAATGTGCGCAATCATGTAGATGTAAAATTAGTAACGAAATGGGATGGACGATATGACGCGGAGGCAATGATTGCGAAACCGAATTTTCACAGTCGCAGCATCTTTGCGGAGAAGATAATCGCCGTCGAACTGCGCAAACTCGAGGTGAAGTTCGACAATCCGATTTACGTGGGTATGTGCATACTAGACATATCGAAAGTCTGCTTGTACGAATTTCACCACAAGTACGTGTCACCGCTGTATCACGACAAGTGCAAAATTATGTACACCGACACGGACAGTCTCATTTACCGTATAGAATGCGACGATGCTTACGAGACTATGAAACGCTATATCACAAGATTCGATACGAGCGATTATCCGGCGGACAACGTGTACGGTATGCCTCTCGCGAATAAAAAAGGACCCGGCCTAATGAAGGACGAGAACAACGGTGTATTAATGACCGAATTCGTTGGACTCAGAGCGAAGATGTATGCGGTGAGGGTGGACGGCAAGAAGGACATTAAAAAGGCAAAAGGTGTAAAGAGTAATGTCGTAGCGCGAACGATAACGTTCGACGATTACACGCGATGTTTGAACAAAGTGATCGAAATGACTCGCAGTCAATCGTGTATCTGTATACGATCTAAATTACATGAGGTATACACGATATCCGAATAAAAAATCGCTCTGAGTCCATACGACGACAAACGATACCTCCTACCGGCCTCGACGGAGACGTTACCATGAGAGCATTGGCGGATATCATTGTAATACATGTATCATATGTTTTATATTATGTTTTTTTTACATTTATATACATATTATGTGTTACTGTTGTATAAAATTATCATTATAATTTACGCCTCATAAATGTATAAAAAAAAAGTACATCAATCAAAATTGTATCGAATGACATTGTTTTTTCATGTATCCACGAATTATGCGATCCATCGAATCCCAGACACTTAACGTACACCTTGTCTCCTTTCCTGCACAGTACTGTCTCCACGTCCGGAGATACATGTCCGGATGAGTAGCGCGATGCAACTCGTGCTCGTAGAACGCTACAGTGATAGATCAGTCACTCATTGTCAGTCAGTCCATAAATCAGTCCTTTTTAACAAAACAAAAATAAATAAAGAATTATATAAATTTAATCAGTCAGTCAGTCAGTAAGTTAAAACGTTAAAACGTACACGTTTATTCGTACACCTTTATACATACACGTTCATACGTATACGTTCATACGTACACGTTCGTACATACGTACGTATAAACGTGTATGTATAAACGTGTATATGCGAACGTGTATGTACGAACGTGTACGAATGAACGTGTATGTATAAACGTGTATGTATGAACGTGTATGTACGAACGTGTACGTATAAACGTGTATGCATTTATTTTTCATGCAGTGCATTATACACAATATTATCTACAGGGCTATCAAATTCGCATACAATACCAGAATGCTTATCATAAATCCTACGTAAAGTGTTTACCGCTTCCAATTTGTTCATAATACAGTTCTGACGTAAATAATATACAAAAGAGTCAAATTTATTGCTTATACTATTTGTATATTGGCGCAAATCAAAATATATGTGCTCGACACATTGTGTCGAGTTCAAGCATAAAAAGTATAGTCGATGGTTTCATATACACACATTTGTCACATAAAGATAATTTCACATTGTCCACATCACGTATTTTAACAAGTTCAATGACAAAGTCCTGAATCATCAACGGTGACGGAGTAGATGACCGCACCAATTGCTGGATGTCCGATCGTTTTTCGATAAACGCCATCCACGTAGCGTGAAGCAGGACGATACGGTTGCCTCGAGTATCGCCAATCGCAATTTCCACTTAAGACATTGGTCCCGCGGCGATCCCAATCTCCAGAAATTTGTACGCTGTCGGTGTCAGCGCGAACACCTTCCTCAAAATTCTACGTGCACTGTAGGAAACATACGAATAAACAATATAGAAAAAAATTTTTCACAAATATAAGTGAAATACTTACGGTCGAACGTATGAGTCCATGTCTTCAGAGCAACTGATGCAGTCCCCCTCAAATTCTTTACAAAGTTTCCCCTATCATAGCACTTCGAGGATGGATGTTGAATTTATGTATCAATTTCAAAGAATAGTTTATATGAAATTACTTGAGAATCTTTAATCACACACCTGCGAGGTGTATAATAAGCCCGACAGATACGATTAGTCCGTGTACACGAGAATAGTTTCTATTTCAGCGTCATCACTTTTAGAGAATAGTTCATATGAAATTATTTGAGAATCTTTAATCACACACATGCAAGGTGTATAATAACCCCGACAGATACGATTAGCCCATGTGCAATACCACGAAAGAATATCACCAAGTATTTCCGCACAACATGTAGAAAACGCTGATCGTCTACATTGACCGTCTAATTCATCATAGTCGTAAACCCTTTCGAAGTGTTGAATGTTTATCACACCAAGTACCAGTGCAGTGATGGGCTGTGTGGGAATTATTCTCGCATGGGAATGTTTATGCGCATGCGTAAGCTGACGTCACAGTCACGTGTCGGCAGCTTTCACAGACGTATCTGAAACCGTTAGCCGTTAGGTGCCCGTGCCGGCCGTGCCCCGTAAAGGGCTCCAAGTCTTTACGAATTTTCGTGCATTTTTTGCGAGAGGTAGGTAATCATTATGTAACAAAAAGCAAAAATAAACAAATGCGCAATAGAAATTTATGATA